TTTCTCTTTTTCTGTTCTCCAGCTAAACTAGCTCCCTCACTGTTCCTCAAACATGTTTCTGCCTCAGGGCCTTTACTCCTGCCATTCTCTTTGCCTAGAATGCTCTTCTCCCAACATGCCTAAGGCTCACCTCCCTCATGAATCCAAGACCACACCGGCTGGAACAGCAGCCTCCAGCCACAGCGAGTGAATTCATGAGTGAATCAATGAATGACAATGAATGAATGAATTCTGTACCCACCCTTTAATTCCAGAATTCCTGTTAGATTGAATCATATGATGTCATGAGCCAAAAATCATTGAATGGTGGCTATTTTATACAATGTGACCTACTTTGTCAGTCACGCCCATGGTCAAAATTCTCCAATTGCTCCCACCACCTAGAAATTCAAACTGCTCAGATTGACCACATGCCTCCTGGCTCTGACTCCACTCTCTTTCAGGTCCAGGTAGGGCTATCCCATGAGTTTCCTTAGACTCCTCTCTTTGCTTCAATTCCCTAGGCCACCTCTGCCTATCCAAGCCTGCCTCTTGAAGAATGCTCCTTGCCTCAGGCCTCCCTCCACTCCTGTCCAGTGTGTACTGGCGGTAGTCTTCTGCCTCAGCCTGCAAAGGATCCCTCAGTTCTATAATTCTGGTCCACTGTGGGTGGGAGCAGGCCTCCCTGCACCATAGCCTGCCACTGCACCCCAGCAGGCACCATTACAATGCCAGCAATGGACTGGCTTTTCAAGACTGCAAGCTGTACTTGGGATCAACCCAGTCCTGGGAGACCCTGCCATTCACTCTTATTGACCCTGAGCAGGTCCCTTCTGAGCCTCAGTTTCCTCATCATTGAAATAATGTCAGAGCCTAGACATGGGTCCTGGAAACAGGGGCCAGGGATGAGAGCATGAGTTAGCAGAAAAACCATAGGTGATGACCAGGGGAGGGTCACAACATGGGTATTTCAGTGACCTAAACTGGAGTCTCAGTATTGATGCCATTTCTGGGCATGAGCAGGGCAGTGCCTCCTTTCTCTAGCCATTGGTTCTCCACTTGAAAAGTAAGCCCTGGGGTTGGAAAGTGGGGGAACAAGGGCAGCCAGTACAAGGCAAGATCCTATCCCACAAAGATGTTGAAAAGGGAGTCTCATGTGAGGACCTGAAAGAGGAGGCTCCCACAACCCTGCCGACCTCACCCTGAACCTGGGATCCTATTCAGCAGTCCCCTCAGGTGTGAGTAAGAAAGCAGCTACAGAAGGTGGTGACAAAATGAGACCTTCTGCAGGGCCAAGAGACTGCTGCTCCTCCTTACAAGAAGAAGGGGAAAGAAAACATTCAGTGGTGAATGTAGCAGAGGGCCCGACCCCCAAGAGCCAGCATTACCAAAGAGTGAGGAAGAGATGTAGACAGTGCCAAGTGTTTGGCTGATGGGATGGGGCTTCCTGGCTAAAGAGGACTTTAGAAAGGGGACCTGAGGAGACTTGTGAGACCAGGATGCTGAGGGAGCTATGCACGGAGAACAGGGCTCAGGAGTATGGGACTGTGGGAAAGGATCTGAGGCAGAAATAACTCCTGGGACTATGTTCCGAAAGCAGGACCCGGTGTGATGTGCTTGGGAAACAGGATGAGGTTGGGTGGGCAAGGAGGAGAGGGAATATTGGGGGCAGACAGGGACAGAGGTCAGCAGTCGGGATTTCATTCTGATCCCAGGGTTTTAACCCTTTGAGTGCCAACCAATATCCTAGGAACTATGCTAAAATTGCCAAGGCATTTTTGCTGATTTTCCTTAGGTGCCATCTGTCAATAAAGAGTGAACTACTAGCATCTAATAGTGACACTGCAGGAGGAGCGCCATAGCGCTCCCGGCACTTTTGGCAAAAGACAGAAGGAGCGCCATCGCGATCCCCGGCACTCTAGGAGTTAAATAAGGAAATGACATAATCTGATTTCCATTTACAAAGGATGCCCTTGCCTGCAGGAGGATGGGGGCAGCAGGTTGATGGGAGTGGGACGGGGGACCTGAGAGCCCAAATACGCCAGCTGTATGATCCAAGAGGAAGGAAGTGAGGACTCAGAGCAGTGGCTGGGTTTTGGGTGAATTTTCTCAGTAACCATTGCACTTGTTGATGTTGAGTCTGAGGGAAATAACTCAGGGGTGCCCTCTGAGCAGTGGAGTAGGCCAGGTGAACCACTCCAGCCCAAAGAGATGAGGCTGACCTGACCTTCAGGCAGGTCCACAGCTCAAAGCAAGCCTACAGAGTCGCTGGCCCTCCAGTCCAATGCACATAAGCAAGACACACAACATGGCCTTCCCCTCACTAACCAGGACTCCCATGACCAACCCCTTTCTACCAGGCTTTTCTCACATTGGTTTGAAAACCAAATGCATGGCCTGACACTTTGTGCCTCTGTGTGTGTGTGTGTGTGTGTGTGTGTGTGTGTGTGTGTGTGTGTGTGGTGTGTCTAAGCAACACACAGGGGTTGCAAACTGAAATGCCCACAGTGGCCAGGCATCCTATCTAATAAAAGAGAAACATGGTAATTAGCTGTAACTTCACTACCCTTCCCATTGGCTAATCAGCAAGATATGCAAATTAACTGCCAACCAAGATGGCAGCTGGCAGCCAGGCAGCTGATGAGAACAGGAGGCTTGCTTGCTCCAGTGATGGAGGAAGCCAGGTTCCCCGCCTGCCACTGCCGGCCTCTCAGCTGCTCTCTAAGAAACATTGTTACAAATATAGAAGCTAAACAAATCCCCAGAAACCTGCTTTCAGTCAGCTGGGATCTCAGAGCTGGAGTCGAAACAAAGTTTCAAATACAGAAGGTAAACAAAGCCCAGAAATCTGCTTTCAGCAGCGGAGGTCTCATAGCTGGAGCCGAGCCTCAGAGCTAAAGCTGGTGGCCTAGAATTAAAAAAAAGGAGAAAAGGAGGCACCCAAGCAGGACCCCCACCCTGATCCAGGACACCCTTCAGGGCAAACCAGCCGGCCCCCACCCGTGCACCAGGCCTCTATCCTATATAGTAAAAGGGTAATATGCCTCCCAGCACCAGGATCAGCAGAGCCGCAAGGCCTCCCAGCACAGGGATCAGCGGAGCTGCGAGACCTCCCAGCCTGTGATCACCAGAGCCACGAGGCCTCCTGAACCTGGGATCAGATGAGCAGCGAGGCCTCATGGCTCCAGTGTTAAGTGGAGCCGTGAGGCCCCCCAGCACTGGGATCAGCAGAGTCGTGAGGCCTCCTGGCCCCTGGAGCAGCGTGACAGGGGGCAGCGCCCAAACCCCCTGATCGCCCCGAGGCTCTGTGTGTGACAGGAGGCGGGGCCACAACCCCCTGACCGCCCTGTGGCTCTGTGTGTGACAGGGGAAGGCGCCCCAACCCCCTGATTGGCCCTGC